CATCCGTCCAGTCTTAGGATATGGTCTAGCAGCTCTTTAACCGCTTTCAAAGTTTGAATGCGTTCTGCTGGAAAAGGTTTAGTGACATGCGACGAAAGCTGTTCTGGGGCTTAGTGATCCCCCGTACCCCATGCGACTCTAACAATTAAATATATTCCCCTTAGAGCTCCGCCGTCGCCGAGTGATCTCACCTACACTAGGCGCATCCTCCGCGGGAAACTTAAAAGTGACTAACAACAACTCTTCCGGCCCAACACTGACTGTTCCACACAAGGTCACACATGAAAACTATTTGATCAGACACAGAATGCACGTGGGCGTCACCCTATACACTAGAGTGGTGAATGATTGGAACGACCTATCGGAAGGAAGTGCAGACGCGCCATCCGAGGAAGGCTTCAATCGGCTGCTAGTCAAACATTCTCCGAGACGCTGGAAACTTGCGGCTGTCACTGCAATTGCGATAAACCCTTGAGGAACGTCGTAGCGCAACGACACGTATTAAACCCAGTATGATACCGAATCAAAGGGGACTGATAAGGGATTGCTCTCTTGCCCTCCACAACCGCAATCAATGAACACAATGAAAGTTGGCGGGTCAAGTTTGGACTACACGTTGTGTGACTGGATTGCGACGCGCAATCTCAATGTAGTGGACGGTGGTTCACATTGAAGTGAACCTTAGTAGCTGCGATCACTGGGACCGTACTGAAATCAGATGGAAATTGGGCGTTGCAGTGCAGCGTTTTCGGTGGGCGATACCCAGTTTCCATCAACTCAATGAAAGTGTCTATCGGGGCATTCGACCGCGCCACAAGCTCAGCCAGAGTGTACATAAACAACAGACAAATAAAGTGAAACAAATCTGCTGGTAGTTGCAGCAACGGAGTCACATAAACGAACATTCAGAATAAAGTCTTGCGGTAGTAAGGTCAGTCGCTCATTTCGGTATCGATTTGGTTACAACGCAGAGCCGAGGAATCCCCGGTATCGGACGTGACCTTGAACCTGATGTACGAAGTCATTAACCGTCGGTGCTAGTATTGCCTCCTCGGGCAAGACGTTCCAAAGGTCAAATTCTTCGGTTCCAGTGATTTGGATAGAAGAAGGAGCCTAATCCCAGACGTGAATCATTACCTACTAATTTCCCGCGCCAGCATATTCCTTTGGCAGTCACTCTCTCAAAACTCAGATCAGGTCCTCGACGCCCCCGTAAATCTCTCGCTGGTCGGCGGAACGCTAATTCGTCGCAGAGATTGAGCTTTTCTGTCCATTCAGATGAGGCGTCGAAGGCGATCTGGTTCTGATGATGATGGTATTTCGATTTGTAATTGATGAGGTTCTAGATTACCGATCCAAGCGAGACAAATTAGAAACTGACACACTAGAGTCACTTATTTACCGCATTGGTTCCAAGGTGGAAACCGTACGGTTATATACTAACTTTTTAGAGTTTGGCAAACATAGAGAAGGACATAACGGACCTCGCATCTTTAACCCTTCTCGAGATACCTCGAAATGGCGACAATCTCGTCAAAATTCTGGCTAGATGGTAGGTACTAATCATACGGCTATGACACACTAGCGTTCGGGACATTCCAGAAAGGATGCCAATTTACGCAACGATGGTAGGCTTGTTGAATCTCAAGAATCGCACCTTCGTGAATCAAGTAATTTGTCGTGAACTTGTGTCCACAGTGATAGCTCATCGAAGTACTTCAGCGAGACCTAAAGGATGCTATCAAATCAGCTGCTTTCGAAGATGCGAAGTTTATCGTAAGGATAACATTCCCTTACTGTGTTTTCAGATACTTTTTCTTTCGGCTTCTATCAATTGCTGCACAGTGACCGTCAGCTCCTTGTTAAATTTGTACGAGAATTTCGCAGAAGTTACCCTCGACGTCGGCCGCAGCTCCCAATCAAGAACTGATTGGTATACCTACGCTATACTTTACAGCCTTCCTTACGTAAGTCGTCTATCTTGACTTGCTCTCCTGTTTGTTCTTACCCCTGTGCAGGTCGAAGCCATCTAACCAACACGACTGCGTTTTAGAGCCGATAGTATTATCAGCTCATTCTCTACTGTGATGGCTTGCTTTATTTCCTGTTCCGACTTCTTACTTCCGTCCTTTGGTGACGACATTGCCCTCCCCTGTGGCAGCTCACAAGCACCTCAGGTAGCACAGGATGTCAGTCGTCTCGTGCTATGATCAGCATCTTCGAAGTGCAATTTGTTTCTCCAAGGCTCCTGAACCCACTACTGCACTATGATTTTGTCAGCAGTTTAAGCACCCAATCAGCTACACTAATAAAAATCGGACAGCTAAATGTCCGAAATCAAATTGTGGGGAACGGATGACTAACGTCGTTAAAAGCCATCCGATGTGTGTGAAAAGCCGACTAGCATTGCCAAATACAGTAAAACCGAATGTTAACCACTCAAGGGACCGGCACATGCTGGTCAAGATATAGAGGTGGTCCACTACGGTGGTTTTCGGTCAAAACCACGTAACCTGCTTTCCCGCTGCGAGTAGTATAGTATGAACTTTACTTCCGCCTAAACCTTTTCGACCACATTAGACCAGGCCTCACGTGATGGCAAACACAGTTCAACCATTCGGTGTGATAATAAATCAAAACGCAGTGTGCATTTCGCAAGTTACAACACTTTTAAAGATAAAGACCTTTGTTTTTTCTCTTATAACAAAGCTACCTGAAAAAGCGCTCTTAGCACATGCCACACGATTTAGGATGCTTTGACATTTTTCCACAGAAAATGACTTCAGTTGCAGTATAAGATGCCTGATTTCTTTTGGAGTTTGATTTCCAACTCATCGCCACTCAGTTTTTTTACTACTTCAACAGCATCAGCAGGGGTTTTACAGCAATCAGTATCCCTTGGAAAATAGCATCCAAGTCTGGTTTAGTGCGAGTTACCAAGTCATCATCCATTTCAGAAAACTCGAATTCTGTTAATGGAGATGGAACATCTAATAAGGCCACGACATCCCACCCTGGAATGTGAACAAATGCGGCTTTTCTGTAACACTTCTACATTATTACTGCTTTAACTTTGAACTAAGCGGTATTTATCCAAAGCACAGCATCCAAGGCATTAATTGAAGCAACAGAAGTTCGTTTCGCAAGGAAATCATTAGTGTGCAATTTTCATCATCAACAACAGTACATCAGTCATTTGAGCTGATGCTTCGCTGCCATACAATCATGATAACCTATGAAATAAAGAATAAGAGGAAGAGAAGGGGGATTTATCTGAAAACCTTATGGCCCTAAGCAAACATTCAGGGTCAAAGCGCTTACACCTCGTCTAAACAACATACCGTCACAAACAGCTGGCTATCGTGCATAGATAAGGCGGCATCGTCGGGTCAGCTTCTTTGCAGCTTTCACTGCCCCGCACCATACACACTATAAACAGGCAATGCGATTAGGAGACGGCAGCAGTCGCGCCACCGGTGTCAGTTGCGCCATATCATGTAAAGTCTCGAGCCAAAGACAAGGCGAGTCACGTGGACTCCAGACCGGAAGGCGAGAAGGACCAACGGCACTCAGTTTGGTCCTCAATGACTTCCTTTCCCGCTACCAAGTCAAGTTCTTTCCACCTCGAGCCTTGCGCCATTCTACGTCTGGTAGAATAAACAAGGCCTTCCCAAGTAATGTATGGACTTACCACAACCCATTGCGTGACCTGGACTCAGTAGTGTATTCTGAGTACTGTGGTGATCTTTTGGTACAGAGGCTGAATTTAGGTCATGTTTACAGGCAGAAACTTACTCCGTGTCACCTGCCAAACCGGTCGGATCTGGGGTCGAGACGAAGACTCGTGATCTGAACACGCCTCATCGAGGTGCTTTTTCACTGATAGTAACGTTATCTTTCGTAACGTTGCTGAATCCGCGGCAGCTCTTCCCAAGGAACGCATGCTGGATGACCTCCAGTGCTTCAAGCTCTGCGTCAACAGGATGCTTCCACCTGGTTTCCCCGGTGTCACTGTCAGGAAGCTAACCAGATTGGGGAACGTCCCTGTGGATACGCCAATTCCGCGATCCCGGAGGGACGCAAAGCGTTACTGCGCTTTGCATTCAAACTCAAGGGTAGTAATGTCAGCGTTTAGCCGGACCTCCCACTGGCAGATCGACTGAAGTTAAAGAAAGCCATCAAAAGCCTCAAGAGCAGGCGGGCGGCTAGTGAGCAAAACCTTCGTCTTGTGGGTTTTCAGGTGGTCAGCCGGAAGTCAAATTCTGCCCTACCAGAACCCATCCTGCTAGCGTACGACCCAGGGCTGATCGTGCCGGGTTCCTTCAGGTAGTGCTTGATAATGTGCGTAGCCTAAGGAACAAGGTACATAAGGTGCGTCTACTTGTAGACAAATCTCGTCCTGACATACTTGCTTTCACTGAAACCTAGTGGTCCCCGGATATCACAGACGGTGAAGTATGTTTACCTGGCTACGCACTGCTTAGATGTGATCGCTCCGTTGGCCGTCAAGGTGGGGGCGTCGCTCTTTATGTGAGTTGTAAACTTGATGTTTTGAGGACCTGTGTTTTCCAGTCGCCGGATCAAACTGTTGAAGCTCTGTCGACTATTGTGTGCACTTCCTCTGCTCAGTTTACAGTTGCAGTGGTATATAGAATTCCTGGAATTATCTCCAGATAGGTTATTGGATTTATTCGTACTCAGGCTGCCAATAGGTGTCTAATACCTTGTGATTTCAACCTCCCTGAACTCTGCTGGGCTGATCTATCTTGCAGTTCGCCGGTGGGCACTTTCGGTTCGGATCACCTTTAGCTAACGTTGTAACTGCCCTTGCATCAGCTCGTGGACCTCCCGACTAGATATATGAGCGACCAAATTCCGTCTACCTCAGATCTCATTTTTGCGACATCACGATTTCGTAAGCGATTTTACATACGGCTGTCCTCTAGGAGCCAGTGACCATGTCTGCATATCCTTTCGATGTACTCTAACTAAATGTCATCAAGCTACCTCTGAGGCATGTCCAAATATTTGGCGACTAGACTTTAACGCAATGCGAGACAAAGCTTCAGTTCTGCGTTGTGCGATCACTGTGGCTGACACCGTTGAGACAGCCTGGAAGAAATTTAAGGCGTACCTCACCGAGATCTCTGCTCTCCACATCCCACTCATTAAGAGACGGGTGACACGGGCGCAGCCTCCTTGGATAGATCATACAGGTAACTACCTGCTCAGGAAGCGCTCTAAGTGCTGGCGAACTTACCAAGCGGCTTCATCAATCAGCCTCTACGAAATCTATCGGGCGGTTAGAAATACATGTAAGCAACATCTTAGGACTCTTCGTCTTCAGTACGAGAAGGGACTGACGCAGCCGTAACAAATCAATAGTTCTTTGCTTACGTAGAGAGACGTAGCGGTACAAACTCGTCTATACCGCCTTTACTACCAGCGGACGGGACCCATGGACATACCGACTATGATAAGGCTTGTATACTTAGCGAACAGTATACTGGTGTCTTTTCTCTTGAGTCCTCTCTACCTCAGGTTGAGCTGGTCACGAAAGTCCCGGAGGATTTCAGCCTAACTGCAATCAGCATAACAGACACAAGTCTTCGGGCTATTGCAAGGGCTAAATCCTTCCAAAGCTTCTGATCCTGATTCAGTTCATCGAAGGATGATGCATGAATTGGCCGCTGAGTTAAGGGGCCCTCTGACGCATGTTTATACTATCGCTCGACAGCTGTACCTTACCTTCGGAATGGAAGGAGGCAATCATCTGTCCGATTTTTAAGGGCGGTGACAGCTCTGTCCGCGAACCACCGGCCTGTCAGCTTGACAAGCGTAGTATTTAAGTTGTTTGAAATATTGGTCAAGGCTTCGATAGAGAACCACCTTATTAAGTTTAACCTTCGCAGTGCGGCACAGCACGGATTCTGTAAGGGATTTTTATGTCTGACAAATTTACTTGTAGCTCGTGTAAGCTGGGCTGAGGCAGTAGACAACGGTCACGCCATTGACGTGCTTTTCGTTGACTTCTCGAAAGCCTTTGATACTGTCCCACATCAACGACTCTCATTGAAGTTGAGATCGTATGGGATATCTGGAGCCGCCGTTAAATGGGTTTCTGCTTTCCTAGAGGGGAGAGAACAGTTTGTACGCGTGGTGCTTAGCCTTTCGCTTAGACAAGCTGTTTTCATTGGCGTTCCTCAGGGCTCGGTTCCAGGGCCGTTGCTTTTCGCAATTTATGTCAATGACCTACCCCAGAAGCTTGAAGTACCGTCGCTATTGTTTGCTGATGACCTCAAGCTCTGGAATATTGTGGCTATCCCTGGTGGCTCTGATGCACTTCAGGGTGCCTTGGATAGGCTCTGGGATTGGTCAACCTTATGGTTGATGTCTATAAATCAGGCACAATGTTCTGTCCTCCGCATTGGAGGTGCTAGTCCCCCCACGCGCTATGTAGTTGGTGGAACTGAAATCCCTGTTGTCACTCAGCAGATTGATTTAGGTATCATCCACACCTCATTGCTTCACTCTGGGGACAATTGGAGGAAGGCTGTTTGTAGACGGTTCCGTACGATGTGGTTTATTCGCCGCTCCTTCGGTGTCCTAACGGCCATTATTTTTGTGAATATGTTCCCAGCTTTTATGCGACCCCATTTAGATTACTGTATCCAGGCTTATCCACCTTGTCTTGTAAAGGACAAAGTGGAACTGGAGAGGGTTTTGCGAGTGGGTACAAGGATAGTGCAATGATTACGGGGGCAAACGTATCCTAAACGTTTGCTTTGCTTGGATATGTACTCAGTGCACTACCAGAGAATTAGAGGAGACTTGCTCCTCACTTACCGTATCTTAACGGATAAGATCAATCCAGACATGTCCTTTTCTATTTAGTCCCGCCAACTTGCCTAGTCTCCGAGGTCACCCTTTGAAGCTGCACAAACTGCGTTCTGACCAGGTAAGGACG